TCCTTCAATCCTATTCAGATTGATTCTTTTTTTCTGGGTTGGGTTTTATAAGGGAAAGACATATATTAGCTTTTTCTTGGTCATTCATGCTGACTCTTAATTTAGATCTAGTTTTAATGAAAAAAGGAGAGAAGGAGCAATGGAGTCATTATATTGTCATTTTGTGGATAAGTAACATATATGGTTCCATTGAATAGATTTTTGTGAGGAATGCTACACTCAAGTATTTTGTCCTCTGTGTTTTTGTAATACTTTCTATGTATTTATCATAGCACATCCCCTACCAGTTATCTGTATTCATGTTTATGTTTTAATCTCCACTAAAAATCCTTGACAGCGCCACGTCTCACTGATCCTCTAATCGTTCCTTGATTATAGTAAGCACTTAATAAATGTTAACTTGGAAAATAATTTATAAAAACAAAACTTTAATAAATAGAGCCACAGAATTCTTTGTCTGTATATGATGTTTCCAACTTTCCTTCCTTCCTTCTTAGAAAGTTAAGCAGAATCAAGTTTGGACATGCCTTTTTATAGAAAATTCTAGGAAAGAGACGGGTAAGATGAAATTGACAGAAGCGAAAATGGACACTTGAAGTCAGCACGCTTGATATTTGTTTCCTTCCTTCTCACTTGACATTCCAATTACGTCTAAATCATGCTGGAATACAAACCATTGCTATCAATTACTGTCTTTCAGCAGATCTTATAGAGACAAATGATAGGGCTGTGACATCCTTCAGCTTTAGATGGAAATCTCTTGAGCAGCAGAAGCAAACATTAGTGACCATTGCATAGAACAACATATCCTAGGCAATACAGCCTACATGTGGGTTTCTAAAATGACTAATTCTTTCTCCTATCTTTGCTCATTTTGGTATGTATTTGGAGAGAAACAAACGATTGTTGCATCTCTGCTAGGATATGGTTTTATAATTTGAAACCATGCAACATATTTTTTCCTTTTTCATCTCTACTTTGTGTTTCATTTATGCCCTTACCTCAGCTAATCCAAAAACATTGGGACCCTTATTAACGTCCCTTTAAACAGGAAAATTAGATTCTTATTGGGAATATATTATCTATTCCCCTGTCTCAAGAGCAAGCTATTGCTCACTTTTTCTTCACAATGTCAAATACAAATTCCACTGGCACATAATGTGAACAGCTAAAACTTAATGATCTCATCCACTAAAAAGAAAGAATAATTGTGCAATATAATAGAGATAGTAAGTATCATTAACATATGAATTATATTACAATACATACAGAGTCCAACAGAAGTTAAGTCCTGCTTGAGTGTGGTTGGTAGGGTAATATGTGTGTAATAATTTATAGTTTTTTTAAAATTTTTATTTATTTATTTTTTTAGAGAGGGAAGGGATGGAGATAGAGAGAGAGAGAGAGAGAAACATCAATGTGAGGTTGCTGGGGGCCGTGGCCTGCAACCCAGGCATGTACCCTGTCTGGGAATCGAACCTGTGATGCTTTGGTTCGCAGCCCGCACTCAATCCACTGAGCTACGCCAGCCAGAATAATTTATAGTTTTAATCTGAACATTTTGCCTAAAATGTCATATGGTGTGCTTGAGTGTGATATTGTAATGTTACAGAATTACATGCTTATGATTTTGTAGTAAAAGATTTTATAATAAAAAGGGGCATAATTTGTGCCATAGCCTGTAAATGTATGAAATTAACACATTGTACACATTAAATTTACACAATGCTATGCATCAGATATATTTAAATAAGAAAATTATTAATAGTCTTTTGATGTTTGCCCGATTGATAACTTCCCAAAAGTTTTGAACAGACTACTTAAAACCTTCAAGGTGTTCTGCTTCTGCCAGTTCTATTTGTCCTGGGGTGTTTAAAATGTTAAACCCAAATGATTATTTTGGGACAAACATGCCAAATAAATGTAAGCACCAATAATAACATTTGGTTGAATGACACTTATTCACATGCCTTTTGCACACTGACACTTTTCATTTGTGCTGTGTGTGCTCACTGACCGACAAGTCTCCCTGTAATACTAGACTCAGGTTGCCAATCACCGGGAAAAGTCATAGCTAAGTTCAGTTTCAGCCACCTGCAGCCTGAAAGGTCTTCCTTATGGGTAACTTGCTTAGTCACACATAGCATCAGATGGAATCCTAGTATTTAAAAATTTAAGTAATTGAATGTAATGCTTTTTAGGTAGCACCAATCTATTTACATCCATAGTGTTGAGTCCTCTATGATTCAGAAATAAAATTTGATAATATTCCTCAAGCAATGACATTGGTTAAGGAAAGTGGAAGAAATCCCTCTTGGTCATGAGGTCTTGGTGGGCTAATTCCTTTTTTAGCACACTATTGCAAAATAATGTTCTTTGGAAATAATTTTTTAAATTGGCTCTACATGTGTGGCTAGACAATTTCATTTCAAGCTAAATAAACATGATTAAGTGTGGCAGTTTTTTGGATGCCACAGAAACATTCCACATTCATTGTATCATAATAAATGTATAATTGCTTTCCAGGAGAAGCAGGAACATACTTCTACTCATAACACTTTATAAATGTTTCTTTAAATTTTTGAAGTTTTAATTTTAAATAATCCCCATAAAAATTATCTTAATTCTTTATCTCCACACTAGTTATGTGCATGACTTCATATTCTTTGATAATCAGTCATGGTTCATATATCTGTATAGATCCTATATAGATTGTGCTCTTGCATATTTTTACTAAAGAATAATTAGAAATAAAGCTAAACTTTGGTTGTAAAACTACAACTGACAAAGTTCAAGGGACATGGGATTTCTGACTCTCAGTTTTCAGGCTGGGGGATAATGGGCGGGTGGGGTAAGGAAAGGAATCCACATGGTAGAGCTGGTCAGCTTGAACACTGGTTAACAAGCAGGAGTGCACTGATTTTATCTTTCTGGAATGCATATAATAAAAAGATTGAGAAATTATCATGCAAAGAAGCAGCTGAAGGCAAGTTAAGTGCACTTATATGTTTAAAAGAGAGACTTATTGGAGTACCTCTATATGAGAAACACCAAAACACATACCAAAAAACACATTTCAGTGAATTTTTATAATACACCAGAAATAATCCTGAGCTGGCATTGTAGGCTGTGTGACCTTGGCAAAGCACTTAATTTCTCTGTGTCTGTCTCCTAGGTTAAAAGATACAGAGTCCCACCCAGCTTTAACATGTATAACACTTCTCTCATTGAAACAGAATCAGGAAGGGAAACTTACCAAATCTTTTAACATTTTCCAGGTACACGATCCAAACTAATGACAACAATAGACACTAGGTACAGACTTTCATTGTGTATAGACCTAGAAAATCTGAAATGCTGAGGTATACAGCTTGCTGTTTCATTTGTTTTCTGAAAGGAAGCACGCCTTCCATCCTGGATCACACAGGTAAGGCGGGAAGCGTGCATTTTGAATGCAAGCATTCTGTTTTTAGTTTATCAAAATACAATAAAATAATCACAAGCACTAGGAAGAAAAAAGTAAGCCAAAGATAAAAACTGTATAAACTCTTTACTTATTTCGGAAAAAGGAACAAATTGCTATACTTAAATCAATAAGAACAATGGCCAAATTTTTGATAAAAGCAAAGCACAGTTGAGGAGCTTAAATTCGTGTTGGTAATAGACATGGAGGCACTTGGACAAATGTTCTCTTTTTTTATCTCCTTAACTAAAAAGGGGACCAATATTTACTGTCAAAGAAGAAGATAAAAGTAATTTAATTAAATTTGCTAGTAAGCACACTGTGCTTACAAAATTAACTTTAAAAAGAATATCAAAAGCTTTAACAGGGCCTAAAATCACCCTCATTGTTTGCAGTGTTGAGCGAGAGGCCCTGTGCTTTTCTTCATTCCTCCTTTCACATGGCTAGGTCCATGCACTTAGCAGGGGAGGGTGCTGATTCAATGGCTCCCCTGGACTGCTGGCAGAGGTGAGGAAAGAATGGGAAGAGAAGAGGTGGTGGTACTGAGCTGCTATGCTGAATCTCCTTATTCTAAGGCAGGCTGGGCCAGAGAGAGGCACGCAGGGTGTCCTGAAGTAAGCAAGCTCACCTGTCACTTTTACAATAATTGCAAGTTTGTCTATTTACTAGTTCACTATGAGATCTTTGAGGGTAGAAGTAGTATGCTATTCTTTTCCCTATCTTAGTGCAAGGCACACAGTAAACACTTACTGAAGATTTATAAAAGGGATGAATAAATGACTCTCATCTCCTTTGGAGCTCCTTTCTCCATCTAGTCTCACGTGTTAGGATACTTGATTAGGTTAGGACATTCCTTATTTAAAACTTCGGTGGCCCTCTTGAGTTTTCCTCCTTTAACTCATTCACATCGCAAAATGAATTACTTTGATCTGGTAATCTGTGAGTGCCCGGATCTCTGGTTGGAGAAGAGGGCTATGAAGGGAAGGCCTCCATGGGGCTGAGGGCTTTGGACTACTGAAAGCAGCATTGGGGGGATGACAGACCAAGGAAAGGACATAAGGGAATCAAGAGGAGTTTATTTAGGGCCAGAGTGGTTACTTTTACAGAGATTCCACTTCCCAAGCCAATTTAGAGGGATTTGACAGCACAGGCTGCCAATTGTTTCTATAAACACTTAGCATTTATAAGCGTGCAGCAGCCTGGTATTCTGCTATTTGGTGGCCAAGCCTGGAAGCTGTACATCCCAGCTTTTCCCAAGTTACTAACCTGTACTCTATGGCCCAGACTAGCTGTGTTAATGAAGAAAAGAGAAACACCCTGATGGCCCCCCTTTCTCCCTCTCCTTTTTATCATCAGTGTGGTCTAACATCACTTTCACAGAATTTACCACTTCATATGATATTTGGAATATGTTCCCTTGCTCTTCCTCACTGCCCTCCCACACCATTCGCCTTAATCAACTAATACCCTCTCTTCCAAGCTTAGAACACAGACTCTGCACTCACATCTCTCCTACAGGGCCTGGTAAATTACCTACCCGCCTTCTTCTGAATATTTATGCCCAAATGCCAGGATGTCGGATGCCCGTCCACTCCCATCACAGACAACAACCGGCACGGGAGGGGTGTCTCGAAGGTACTCCAAGACAATTGAGATCACGTTGGGTCCTCCTTCCACAATGAGCGCCACCACCGGAACGCCTTGACCGATTCCTGCATTAAAAAAGGAAAATAAAAGGAAAAAAAGAGAAAAGAACACAAAGCCAGAACACCAAAGAGACAAAAAAAAGAGAAAAAAAAAGCACAAACTAAAATTACTGAGCACAGGGGGAGGTAACAACATATGAGGGAATAAAATACTGAGCAAAACTTAACAGAAAACCCGTCAGCAGAATGCTCCCATCAGAAAGTCTCTTTGACTTTGCCCTTTCCCAATACTTCCCAGGATGCTGGGGGGTCAGGGCACTGATTACCATACTTTACGAGTGAGGGCATGAGGGGAAGAGGAGAGAAAAGGAACTGATTAGCAGATGAAGCCCTGAGCCAGCAGCCAAAGGTTGGAAGACAAAGGTGATCTTAAACAAGTCTTGTATGTATTCATTGGTTCAGTTTCTTACATGAAAAGTGAAAAGTTAATAATTCCCCCTTCCTGAAGCCAACACAGTGTTAAGAAAATGTTTAAAAGGTTCTTTTTTATTAAAGACTATCATAATTAGCTGAAGGCATGTTTTAACTTGTTGAATCAACTACTGGCTAAATAATGAGTTTATTTCTGACCATCAGTGATCATCTTGATTATTGATTCCTAACAGCATAATAGTCATAATAAGGTGCCAGGAGACATAGCATCTGCTATCTGCCATTACAGCATCCTTCATACTGAGCAAGGTGCCAGGCACATGGCGGCTGGTCAGGAAACATCTGTTCAATCCAGTGGTTTCACAGACCTTTCTTAAAATATTTAAGCTATTTATGCTGAACCATAGGACATTGCTGTTTTCAAGTAAAAATTACCCTAACATCAGCACTTACCTATGGCTCAACCTAACATATTAAAAAGAACTATTAAAAATCAATGTCTATGAGAGACACATGAAAGAAATCAAATTCATTTTCAAGGGTCTTATCAAGTATCATCATTTGCCACTGAATACTCAATTTAGTATCGCACTGCATTTTCTCATTCAGCCTTCTCAGGTTTCGTAGGGTACACAAAACAGTTGTCTTAAAAAAAAGGGCTAATCAAGATTCTACATCACTCTATATCAATAGGAACTAAAATAAACCTTTAGTCATCTTAGCTCTCCCTCTTCCCCCTTTAGCTATGGTTTTATCTTATATCAAGAAACTGCTTTCCTGTGAGAACTACTAGTTTGGGGTTTGGTTTCTTGCTCCATTAATAAGAGATTTTATTTGACTCTTGTATGACCTGTTTTACTTCTAAGTCAGTGTTTTTTCATGGCTTGATTTTCATCTTAAAGGAGTGTTCCAAAATGCCAGTTATAAAAAATGGGTGCTGTTTTAAATCTACATTTTAAAAGTGTTAAAAAAAAAAGACAGTTGTTGATCAAGACGAGATGCAAAGATTTGTTTTGTTGTTCCCCAGAGGGAACTGGGGGAGAGAGAGAAGACTCATGGTGACACCAGAGTTTTCTGTGCGTGGAGAAGTTCTGAATGTTCCTCCTTCAAATCCAAGGACAAGGAAGTGAAAGGTCATGCTGCTCTCTCCTTTGACCCAGAAGCCCTTCATGATTTGCACAAAAGGTTGCTTTAAAGCTGTGGTTGGATGTCTCTGAGGAAGACCCTTTTCCCATTGCTGCTGATTAGAGGATTAACTAAATTCCTGTTGAAAGGCACTTTGAAGATTAGCATCTCATTTGAAATGTTAATACAGCACATTTCTTTTGGAGGAGAATTTGCTGACATAAAAAATACCTACCCCTATAGATTTGTATTTTAATGTGTCTTGGAAGTGTGTCTTTTCCAGCATTTAAAAAGTTAGTTTATAAAGTATTTCTCAAAGTACTATGCTGTTTAACTTTCCTTTTTGTTTAGTTTTAGCACTTACTCCCATATTGCTTCATATCAAGAAACAATGAACCACACTTGATATTTTATACCAAATAATATATTTAGACTTATTCTAGGATCTTCTAAGGGAGGCCTTTTCCAAATTTTGACTCTTGAGCACTGATTCTGTCAGTGGGATCTTTACTCCAACTCACGTAACAACTGTGATCTACTCAGTTTTCTCAAAGAGGATGAAATCATAAAGTGGACTTTCTAGAAAGTTCCAGTGATCTAGAGTCTACAAGACAATACACAAGATGGTTGGAGACCACTTTTAGTTTATGGGTGCAAAGGGTCAATTTTCAAAGGATGATCTGAGAGCAATAAATTGTCCATTTGTAATTAAATTGTTATACCTTCTAGAAATGCAGAGGTTTAGAGTTCCTATGTTAGGAATAAAGTTGTAATCAAGTATAATGATGAAAAACTATTTCAATTCTATATGTATTTATAATAAGTAGATTAAATTTGCTAATATATGGTAACATTAAGCCTTTCTATCAAGGCACACAAACACACAAACATATTATCTTTGTTTCTGAGAAAAGAAAATCTGAAATAATTAGTAATGACCTAAAACAATGGTTCTTAGCCTATTTTTTAGAGATTAGGATCTTTTAATACTTTCATGGATCTGATGACAGCTATTCACACTTTCTCCGAAAAAATAACTGCACATATGGACAGTCACAAAAATACTTCTATGCAATTTCAAAGGGGTTCATGGATCCTTGAAGCCTATTGAAAAACTTGCTAGTGGACCCCTATATAACCACACCCTAAATTAAGCACATTGGTATATCTGCAAAGAGCATTGATTTGTGTTCTTTCATGAAGCTCACTGAGGCTTATGAGACAAGTTCTGGAATGGGTTTTCAAACAAAACTATGCCCAGGGAAGCTATATCATGTTATTGCTGTCTTGTTACATTGATTGGCTTAACTTCCCAGGATGAAGCACTGTCTATAGGCTATTCTCTTCCCTCCCCTTCATTTCTCTTCTTGTTTTTGTTTCTTCTGTCCACACTTTCATTCTAAATTATATTTTATAGAGTATTAAAAATACTCTATAGAGAAATTAACAAACTTGCAAAATAATATCTATAGTACATAACTTCATTAATAAAGAAAAAGTTTTTAAAATATCAAGAGTGGTATGTTTTTTATTGTTGACATAAAGCAAACACTCTGGGCATCAACTGCAGACCCAGGTGGATGCCCAGGGCTCACACCATTTTCTTTACGCTCATAAAAATCAATATAAATTCCTTTAAACATCCTCCCAAACGTATGCCTTACTCAGCCAAACCCATCAACCATTCACAAAAATAGTTGTTTAGACCCACAGTTTAAAAAATATAATCTCTATTATTTAGGGAAAAGAAGTTTAATTTTACCTAGATCCCTCAGGAACCCTTTTTGTGAATACTTGTTCTTTTAGTTTTGAGGAAAAGTAGGTTAATTTCTCATTTGATTGCAATAACTTTTCATTTTCTACCATAACCAAAGACTTGCAGTTCTTAGAGATACTAAATTTCCATTAGAATTTAATTTTAGAGCAATGTAGATTTGCTTAAGAATCTTTTGTAGATTCTTGCCACACTCTAGCTTTTGCAGTTTTAGAACTGGATACATTATAGCCTATAAAAATGTGCTCATGAGTAATGGATTTAGTAGCTATATTCTGCAGGATGACCGAGGGCTCTCTAATTACAAACTAAACCCAACTGTGCTTCACAGAAGATAATCTCTTACACTACCATCACATTTTGTTGTGACTGTGATGCAATTCAACCTGGGCTCCCAATAAGCAAAAAGTGTCAAAATTAGCTTAAACAAAGATTGGGTGGGGTATTGTGAGGAAGGGAGGTGGAAGGAATAGAAGAATGTCTTACAAATACCGTATGATCTCACCTTTAACAGGAACCTAAATAACAAAACAAAGAAAAAAGCAAAATATAATCAAAGACACTGAAATAGAGGTCAGGCTGACAGTGCCCACAGAAGAGAGTAGAGGGAATTTAAGGGGACAGTGGGAAGGGTTCACGGGAACAAACTTAAAGGACACAAGGTCATAAACTAAGGGGAGGGTGGTAATGGGAGGGACGTGGGGAGGCGTGGGAGGGGGGGCTGGATTGGGAGTAAAAAGGAGAAAACTGTATTTGAACAATGATTAAAATAAAATTAAAAAAAGAAGAAGAAGAATGTCTTAAAATTCCAAAGGCCTTTTGTCTCTCTCCCTTTTTCTGCTGATACAAGACCATAATTTATGATCAGTTCGGGCACTTGGGAAAGCATGTGGTGTGTTGTAGTGGACTCCTTAGACAATTGAAAAGTTTTGATCAAACTGTATTAACACTTTGGTTTTACATTAACATCAAGCTAAACTAACACATTGGTTTTACATCAACATTGCCATATGTGATCTAAAGTGCCTATGAACCTAAAGAATACTTTATTTGCTGTTGGAAAATGATTTATATTTATATGGAGTGAGAATGTAGCAGATTGGTCTTTGGCTAAATCCTAATGACAAAGGCCATACAGATCATGTGATTATTGCAGCATATGTCATTTGTAAAGGACAGTTTGAATTTTATGTGAGAGGTAACTTCCTGAGGATCTTGAGAAATTCAGGACTCTGTGTATCAGTGGTGGGTGGACATTTCTGTTTAACAGCTAACGCCATGTAACAATAGCATGAATGCAATTCACTGGCCTTGCCAGCTCTGGAATTAAGTGAATCCTGATTTAGAAGTTTGTGTGAAGAATTCATATGCTTTGAAATTATGCATATAATGAAACCTTATTAATATATTTTATTTTTTTATAATTTAAAATTTGCATAGTTAAGTTTTGCATAAAATTAAAAAGCATGGAACATGTCCCCTTCACACAATTTCTCCCTTAAATGGTCTGGTCTTTGATTCAATGGTTGACTCAACCAACAAAACACTGACTACCATTTTCTGTATTTGGACTACATAATGGGGCCATAACAACTCAGCAACCACCTGAGATCGTGCATTTTTCAAATAGAACCTTACATAGACTTGGGGGACATTAGCAATTACTGTAGTCATGGGAAGAGTAGCAGTTAAGCTATTTGTTTCATTTGAATGGTCTTTTATTTACTGCCTACTT